GCTACAGGAAAACGTGTATTGACTGACCCCCATAATGAGTTTACCTGCAGACTTCCTCATTACCTGCACATTACAGAGGAGATTGGGTGAAGAGAATACAATTAGCTTCAGTAACTCGTCATACCTTACCCCATAACCCAGAAGAGTTGTGTACAACAAAAACGGGCACTTAAATGTCAGATGAACAGATGGAAGAATGATGGTTTTACCCTTTGATTTACTTATACGCAGCCTTTTCCAAAAGCAGCAGAAAGTTCAGGCTCTATTTGTAAACGATGCACCAAAATTGACTTTCTGTTTATTTCTGTCTATCGGTGTAATTATTCTTGTCAAAAGAAAAAGGAGTACGCACAGATAGCAGTGCTGTCAGCAGCCAGGACTTTCATCACTTGTCAGAAGCTATCACCATATAAACAGAAGATGAAACTAAAATTAAGCAAATTGGGCCATTTTCCATACCAAATCAAAGAGATACACATTTTAAAAATACCTTGCAGCCCACAAAGTTGGAAAAACCATTTTTGAACAAACTTCACACAGTGAAAGACAGTAAATCATAACCACTGCCAGAGCAGACTCTTTCAAAAATTATAAAGCAGACATTGGAGGTTTTCTATTTAATAAAAATTCTTCCATTCTGTACAGAGCTTAGGACATGAGTAAGAGTTTATATTTAAAACAGAACATTAAGAAACATCCAAATCAGAGCTAGTGAAAAAAAGTTTATCTTTTAAAACTCTTTTAAAAATTATTAACAAAGCCTTTAAGATTTAGCACAAGGAATTTTCTGTATATCTTTCCACTAAAAAGACAGGTAATAAATTACAGCCCAATTACAATTAGCTGTAACTTTAAAAAAAAAAAACCACCACAGAAATCAAGGGCCAGTCTTTTTTCAGTGGTGCCCAGGCAGATGTAACTTTAAAAAAAAACAAAAACACACAGAAATCAAGGGCCAGTCTTTTTTTCAGTGGTGCCCAGGGACAGGACAAGAGGAAATGGGCACAAACTTGAACTTAAGGGGTTCCATCTGAACATGAGGAGGAATTTCTTTCCTACGAGGGTGGCGGAGCCCTGGAAGAGGCTGCCCAGGGAGGTGGTGGAGTCTCCTTCTCTGGAGACATTCAAACCCACCTGGACACGTTCCTGTGGGACCTGCTCTGGGTGGACCTGCTCTGGCTGGGGTTGGAGGAGATGATCTCCAGAGGTCCCTTCCAACCCCATATCATTCTGTGATTCTGTGTAAAGGCACATGTGGAACAGGGAGGGGGTCTCCCAGGTGGCCAGGGTTAGGTAAGGGACCCAAGGACCTTCTGAGCAACCCAAGAGTTAGGATGAGACCTGGGACCAGGACAGATCTGCTGCTCAACACCTACTCGGAGCTGGGACCTTCTGTGCTTTCCTTCCCCCCAGTCTTGGGGGAAAAGGACTAAAAGCTGAAGAGACCGGACTAACGCTGGGGAACAACCACTGCAAAAGAGGAGAGGAACACAGAGACGCCTCCATCCACTGTTAGGTGTCTAAAGGGGTTTGAATAATCTGAGGATATTTCCTGAATTCTAATTAACTTTACATATTGCTCACTTATGAGACTACCAGAAAGACATTGCATTTTGAAATTGTTTCTGATGAGGATCTGTCTAGCTATTAAAAAATCCTTGGAAACTAATATATTTTCTGCTGTAGATTTTAATTAAACAGCAAAATATTTATTAAGAACACAATCTTCTTTGAAGGAATGAACAGAAGAAAGAGCATTCTCTGGATTGCCTACAGTATATTATTTTGTATTATCTGATTCAAAAGGTAAAACTTACTTTATCATAGAATCATAGAGGTTGGAAGAGACCCTTGGGATCATCGAGTCCAACCATCTACCCTACTCTACAAAGTCCTCCCCTACACCATATCCCTCAGTACCACATCTAATATGAGAAATATTCCGCATTTCTTAATATTATAAAATTAAACTAAGAGCAGAGTTCTCTTTCAAGACTTATATGGGAAATTGTTTAATCATCATGGAGTTATTTAAAACCTCCTAACGTCTCATTGCAATCATTAGCATTTATTTAGTCAGAAAAAAAACAGAATGCCAAAGCAAGATTGGCCACGCAGGGTGACACCGAGCCATGTTACTAGAAACAAGGACAAGCTGTTAAATCCTCTCCCGGAGTAAAGTGCCCTCTGTTGAAACACAGGCATATGGAGGGGTTTTGTAGCCAACATCACCCCCATATCCTGTGGAGCTCAGCCAGAAGAAACAGACACTCGAAGAAGATGGACAGTCTGTTCCACAGAGTGACTCACAAACACGCTCACTGATTGCCCTCAGACACGAAGGGCTCCACATCTAACGGGATTAGGCCTCTTTCATCCCTCCTTTCCCCACCCCACTGACCCCAGCAGCAAAGTCCCACCAGCTTCAAAAAGGGAGAGCTTGATCAGTAGCCAGTAAGTTACAACTATTGCAGCTTTTGTTTCTGGTTTGTGTAAAGGCTTTTTTTTTTTTTTTCCTGTGAGATGGAAGACTGGTGACAAAGGCTCCTATTATATTATGAAATACCAGTCTTAGGCAGGAATTAAATGAATAACAAAATCACAAGCCCAGATCAAACAGTCACAACAAAGGGTAAGCAAAACATATAAATGTCACCACGAATCCTCTTATTCCAAGAATACGCTTTGTAAAGCGCGATAAACGCTGTTTAACTTCTCCCCAAATCCTCAAGCAAACAAAAACATCCAAGCAGCATCTGTCATTTATTCCTATTGACCAAGAAAATGAAAGCAACTTAGCAGGTACAGTGGAAAAGGAAGCTCAAAGCAGGTGATGAAAATAAAATCCGCAGATATCAACACCCCCACCTGACCTCCTGGACCTACCAGGAGACATCAACATCCCTTTTTGCCTCTAGCTGTGTTTGAGCCTCAGCACTGTATTCTCCACTTAAGGGTTTTGAGTGAACTTTATAAAACTGGAACATGATTTTGGTCTGTCTTTGTGTGTGCATGCGGTTTGGGTTTGTTTTTTTTTTTAAATTCCACAAAAGTGAACAGGTAATTTTACAAGCATTCCCCAGGAAAAACATGCAATTAAAAATACAACGTGATACAGGCAACTTCCACCACAAAATGCCAGTTCAGCTGCTGGGGAGCAAAGCTAACATAGAAAATATCAGGGTTTCAGGTCACACCACCTGGGAGTTACTGCTCTAACTACATACTTGAAATTCTTCATTTTAATAGAAATGTTATAAGCATGCTTCACAGGAAGAAGTCTTCCCTATAGGCAAAGGCTCCAAGGCAAAACTATGTAACGTGCAATTTTGCACAATTACCTTCGTTATACATAAATTACTTTATTAAACAAAGCCATAGGTTTATTCGCACTTTGAAAGCAATCTTCTCCCAGCATCTAAGGATTTTCTTGGGGGGAATAGTATGTTTTTACAATCCCTGGCCTCTCCCCAGCACTCTCTCTCATAGATGGCCATAAGGACCTCCAAGTGTGGAGGGCCAGCAGGAAACAAGCCTTCTGCACGGGCAGACAAGGGATGATCACCCTCATGGGAGAGGAAACAGGGAACAATCAACCCAATCCATTTAAAGTGAGCCATTAGAAAGAAGCAGAATCCAGAATATTTGTTAAAATCTAGAACTAGTCTATGGGAAGTAGTAATAAAAAAAAAATAATAAGTGAAATACCTCCAGCTGAAGTGCTAGTCATGGGGCATGAGCAACTGTAACCAACTCCTGAAAATAACCCAGAGGCACAGCTGAAATAAACCTCAACATACAGAGCAAACGCAAAACAATAAAACAAAGAGATAAATATTGGAACAGGCCATTGGAGAAAGTGTTTCTCTGAGAATGTCCAGCTGATCTTTAAAGTCTAATCACAATTCACCAGTCAAGGCTTCCTTATGTGTTTTATCAAGAGACACCTCCCTGTAAAGCCCTCTGGTACGTACTGGTCATGTATTTGCAGGGGCCACTTAAACAAATCAATTAGTCATTAGTACCTGGTGTGCATCCAGCTTAACGAAATAGTCTTTTCATCCATTATCACAGATCAGAAACAATCCCTGCAGAGTAAACGATGCAGTATCTTAAAGTCATGCTGTGTTAACAATTGAGATCAGGATTAGAGAGATCATTTTTGAGCTTTGCATAGTTTTCAGTTTAGCAATAAAAATCTACATGTGGCATACTAGGACAAGTTTGTTTGGTTAACTCCATTTGGAGTTTGTTTGATTAGCTCAGTTGGTATTAATGAGCTTACATTCGTTTTGTGGGATTAAAGTCTGTTTTAAGTTTTTTAAGAAGTTACCTGAGGTCATAACTAGTTAGAAGGTTACCAGCTTTCCTAGAGGACTGCAGAGGCCACAAAATCGGTGCAAGACTCTTATGCATATTTAACCTCTTTTCCTTCAGCTAAGTGTAAGTTGACAGGGAACTGCTCTTCTCTTGTATTTGATAAATACCAGTTATACCATACAGATAATACTCGCAAATCCAGAAGCAGGGTGAATAAGGGAGCTGAGGAACCAAGCCTAGAGCTGGGTGAGGCAGCACAAAACATCAATCCAAAACATTATTTTTGCAAAACAAGGCAAAGGCAGCAGCCAACTGATACACTCACCTGCTCCAAAGTGAAGTGCAAGAATACTCACTTTCTTGAAAGCTCTTTTTTTTGAAAGCCTTTAAAAAGCTCACAGACGAAAGCTTTTTTTGAAAGCCTTTAAAAAGCTCACAGATTTACCACGTACATAAGAGATACCTGATGATAATTTACCCACATATTTGAATACAGCCTCTACAATAACATTCTAATGCATTCCATAACAGCAATTCCACATATTGTAATTAGATTATGGCTTCTGAAATTTCTTCATTGTATCCTTTATACCATTATGAAAGCACCACCACATGTGTTTTATCTTTCCTCTCACACAAGAGTCTGTTGTCACCTCTTGAAATTTAAGACACACAAATACTTAAGCATCAGATATGTTTATTAGACAATTCAAAAAGTCAGTTGTATTAGACAATTCAAAAAGAAAAGTAGAATATGTTTTAATTTCCGTGTATTAATATTTCATCACCTCAAGAACCTGGCAGTCACAGAAAATAAAAATAGTGTTTACAAAAGTTAGAAAAGCTGCACTGCATTCCAAGTGACAGAAAACATGATTAGTTGACAAGGAAGCCTTATAAAAAAGCAGTAACAGATTTTCACCTGATTATGAAACATAGTGATATTGCCATGTATATGCACTCACAAAATCAGCACAGTATTGAAACTAAGGCACTTTGGATACATAGTATTCACTTCCATATAGGAAAACAATTTCAGAGAAACCACAGTAAATTGCTACTGGTAGATGGTGACAGTATGCCCAGTACTGGCCATCAAAGCACCAGGTTTGTGTGAATGAGTGAAGCTCTTGATAAAAAAAAGCACTGAATTTTATTTTTTTTACCCTGACTGTTTGATAGCGAAGACTCATTTCAAGCAAATTTCCTTTTAAGGAGGTCAAAGAAAATTTCCATGATTTAAACGTTGTTATACACCATTTTTAAAGTTAAACATTTTAAAATAGAAGTCCATGGTGAAAACTGCATGAAGTTCACATTAAGGATTAATGCATGAAGCCACTTCAAAAGAAGAAAACCAAAACAAAGCATCAACTTTCTCTATTCCACATTTACCTGCCCTTTCATGAGGCACCCACCAGCCACAGTAGTATCAAAGGAAATAGAGCACAACAGAATGATTTGTCAAAGAAGCAACCTGTCTTCCAGACTGTACTTTCTGGTCCTCCTTTTCAGTTTAGATTGTCGTAAGTTTACTGCCTCTATCCCAATCTGCCACAAGCACGTTATTAACCAATGGATCTAGACCAGATTCTACAAATAATGAGTCTCTAATTTAAAGAAAAATTAATCGCAACTGTTTTTTTACACTGCACTGTCTTGAAATTAAAATTAAATCAGTATTTGAGTAGTTTTGCAGACTTGTATTGCAGCCTTCGGTACATCAATCCTAAGGAGTAAAAATACTCAAGAACCCAACCCTGCAAGCACATGAGTACTTTCACAGGAGTGAAATCAAATTGTTAGCAACAACTTCAGGCATTTACAGGATCAGGCACTTAAATCATGTATTATTGTTGCTGTTTTACTTCACCAATTTGAATGAAAAAATGCCATGGTATAGAAAAAAAAGCAACGTCTTCAAAAAATCAAAGCAGGACTTATACATGGAAACTATGATTACTCTAAACAACCTGGCTCATAATTAGTACAAATAATTTCCACAGTAGTCCTTTACAAATCAGTAGGGTCCAACAGATTTCACTTAAAGTCAGGAAGGGGACACTGTAAAAGAACTTGTTTAAGCACAGCATCTTTACAAGCATATTCCTGCTACGTCTTTGAGGAAGCATTAACATGCAGAAAAAAACCCTGTCATTTAATGTTAATTCTTCTTGGACAAGAATGACAGCCTAGGCCCACTTCAGTATAAAATACAGCTACTCAGCATTCCTCACCACTGAACTCTTCACTTTACACACATCCAAAGTTTAAATTTAAAACGTGTAATTAACCTTTCTGAAACGTGATACTCCCTTCCTGCTTAAGTGATAGGACATTACTCGGACCACAGAATGATTTCTCTACCCTTTTTCTAGGGCACTGAGCGTGAACAAAAGACCCAGTATCAGGGCGCTCATGTTACATTCATTAATTTGTGACCCTTTGCTCTGCACAGCCATCCACAGGACACCGCTTTTGCAGTACACGAGTATTGAGAGAGCTTGGAGAGCAGCAAAAGGAGTTTTACACAACTTAGGGGGCAAAAAGCGCTGCCACATCTTGTGGGGTGGTGAAGCTGCCACATCTTGTGGGGTGGACTCTGTTACCTCCTACACAGGGTGACAGCAGTCAGCTGGCACCTCAGTCGTACAACGATAAAATACTCATTTGCAATCTGTTAGTCTAAAGAACTCGCAACAGTAAAATATACCCTATGCAGGGATTCAGTTTCTTACTTCACCTCTTTCATGTTCATTTTTCTATGAAAGAATAAACTAAGGTGTCTCCTCCTTCACCCCTCTGCAGATTACCGAGATGTCTTCTAGAGTCAGGGCTGTTTAAAAAACTACGTCTCCACAATTTGCAGGATTCAGCAAGTCAAAATAGTAATAAAGTTTACTTTTATAATTGTGATCATGTGAATCTTTACTAGGATAATGCCATTTAAAAATATAGTGTTTTAATATAACAATCTCTTCTTACAGATAAAAAAATAGTAATAGAATAAGTATGTTTTAAGAGCAATGAGAACTGAGGAGACAGAAGTCCTACCCAGCAGAACACTCACTTCTTTGCAATTCAGACATTTTACATGTGAGAATACAGAGTTGTGGACTACACTGGGATTGTAAGTGTCCTGAGTGTAGTTTCTTCTTTTGTTTCTTCATAAGAGAAGTAATGTCAGCTTTAAGCACTGAAGAGGCATTAAAGTATATTATTCCCAAAATATATCCACAGTTGTTAAGTTGAACAGGGACAGAGCTTGAGTATCTTGCAGGGGGGGATTATTTTTTAAATGAACACCATAAGTGGAAGGATTTTTAATCAAGGTTATTTTCTTTTTCTTTCATTAGGTAGTAAAAGAGTTGGCATAACCCACATTTGTTTTTATGTTATCAAGAAAAACCACTAAAATTGCAATTACTAAAGTGAAAAACAAATACTCATTTACCCCTAATCAAAGCAGAAAGATGGATCAAGTAGGACAATACCAAGATGGATAATCTTTATATTGGCCTATTTTGACTCCACGGTTAAAAAAACCCAACAGGCATGCTGACCAGTATCACATGTATCGATGATACTACCGTGATTAAAACAAAAGTTAATGCATATATAGTGAAAAAAATGAGTAAAACAGCTTCTGTTTTGTAAACTTATTTAGGGACAAAGTTGCAACAGCAATTCCAGCTTTTATGAACACATTAAGACAGTTGTCACAAGGGCTTTTTCCCTTTGGCTGAAATGCATTTTTAAAAAGCACGTTATGATCTGATACTGTGAAACCACATGCAGATGCACATACATACACACATCTCAGCAGGCACACACACACACATATGTTATCATATATAAGCATATACACACGCAGAGTATACATATGGTGATACATGCTGTAAAACATTACCAGCTTCAGAGCGATGTCCTACCACTGTTCCCAGCTAAAGTCATCTCCTCTACCAAACACAAGAAAAAAGCCTAAAATAGTAAGGAAAATGACTGCATTTCCAGCCAGCACCAGACCACAGGCTCCCCATTTGATCTGAAATGCAAGGAAACGAAACAATCAAAGCAGTTCTTATAAGACAGGTTCAGGCCAGTTATTTATATGCATTAGATAAACTAAACGAAATACTACAGAAAGGTGCTAAAAGCATAAAGAAAAAAGACAAACAATACATAATTCAACTTACGTGACTAATTATTCAATTAGCAACCACTCCTATTACTAACACAAGACTTCAACAGACAGGCTAATAATGCTATGTTTTAGAACAAAATAATTACCTTGCCATACAAATCACTAAAAAATACCTGTCATAGAAAAAAATCTGGTGAAACCAGTGCTCTCCTTTAATTGCCATGCAACAAAATAAAAAGTCGCCTTTCAGATAAATGTCAGTAACAAGTACGTGGTCTTAACGGTAAATAGCTTGCTTTAACGACCTGCCCGAGTTTAACTGAAATTAGTAAAATATAGGTATGAATTAGAGTTCCCCCTCGCGGTCAGTTCTGGTCCTGTCTACTGTCAGGTCCACAACTTAAAAACTAAAAGGCAGTGACAGGGAAATTGTGCATTACAAATAAATTAAAACTAAGTACACAAGTTTTAAGCAAAACTGAAAGACTGAAGGGGAAAAACAACACAACACATAAAAACGTAAAATTTGGGAAATGGGACAACAGAATTCTTTGCCTTGCAAACAAATGTGACAAAATCTCACCGCTGAAGAGCAGTTCAGAAAGCAAAGAGAAAAGAAGCTAGCAGAATTTCCTCAGACTTTGAGGGGATAAAAGCATGAGCTTGGGAAATGCTTTGAAAACCAGAAGGGCAGTTCTGGAAGTTTGGCCTTTTAACTGATAACACACTCCAGTCATCAAGTTTTCAGCATCCTAAATGGAGAAAGCAGACATCCTGAGATAAAAATAAGGAAGGTTGTGCAAGAAGCAGTGCAAAAGGTGGTGAGACAGAGAGGCATGAGATGTAGGAGGAGATGATCTCTTGTATTGGACCAAAACAAAGCTGGGAAGAAAAAAGCAGCTAAAAACTTTTCAGTCATGCAAGTCGCAGCATAAACAGACAAAATTTCAGCAGTGATTATTTTCATCAGAACCTAGAACCATCGCAATAATGAAATTAAAGACAGGATTTACAAACAGCAACAGTGCCCTTAATGATTATACTCAGTAACTGCTGTCTTACAATTAAAATTAGCAAGCAGAACTTACCGCTTCAACCCGTGCAAGGATTATAGGAAATCCAAACGCAGAAACAACAATTCCAGTTGTGAAGAAATATGCCAATTCCCTGCAGGCACTGCTGGCTGCATCACTGTCATCACTTACTCTTTTTGCAATGAAGTGGGGAATGGGGCAGATGAAGTAAAATATTAAGACAAACAGAGGCCAGTACACACTGGGGAGGGGGGGGAAAAAAAAAAGGAAATACATAATCAGTTTAGGTGGATGCTTCAATAAAGAGTATCTTCTGTTTAATAAAAGTAATTGCAATGGCTGGAATCCTACTTTATGGTTCAAAAAGTGGATTATGTGATTTAACCCCATGATTTCAACCAAAGTGGCAATCCTACGTCGTTTTCCCTGTAATACTGGCACAAGCACCCATATGGTAGTGCAGGATCTACCCTCTCACCCAAACAAGCATCAATTTATTTTACACTTGCATCACCTGGCTGATTCAACTCACACTGCCACCGCATGAAAATGAGAGTCATCACACACACACCAGGGACAGGAAAAGCACGAAAGTGGGACTGGAACTGTGAGCCTTCCCAAATTAGAGGGATCCCAGAGTATAAACAAGCTGACCGTGCAGGCACACCCTTGCACACTTCCCTCTGCAAGAGCTCTCATTAGCTTCACCCAGATTTTTAAGTGTAATAGACATCCCAAGTGGAGTCTTGTGGTGGGAGGGTTGCTTAAAAAAAACAGGGAAGTAAGGGAAAGAATTGTGCGAGGTTAAAAAACTGTTTAGCAAGATGGCACCGCTTTTCCTGAGAAAGAATAGAGCTCTTCTCAGTATTAATTTTTTTTAAGGGAAATGAAAGTACTGGCTAAGGACGTGGTATTTAATCACAACAAACTGCTATGTGTCAAGAACCAGAAAGCAGGCGGCTGCTGGATGCTAACTCGAGCCAAGCAGCTCATTTAAACGAGACGACCACCTCAGTTAACGGATATAAAGAAAGGGAAGTTTTGGGAAGCGAAGCCGGCCCGCTCACCCGTAGTACTCCAGGGCGCAGCCCAGCATGAGGAAGGTCAGGCCGATGGCTCCGCTGAAGGAGAGCGCCACGAGAGCTGCAACGGCACAAGGCAAGGCGGTGGTGAGGCGGGAGCCGCCTCACCGGTTACCGGTAACCGGTCACCCCCCTCCCCGCTCCCCCGCTGAGGCGACGCCTGGGGAAAGCGGAAGCGCAACCCGGACGCCCTGCTCCCTTTGAAAGAGCCCTGGCCCGCGGGCGGGACAGCGGGCCCGGAGCTGCCCTTCGGCAGCTCCGAGCCCGCTGTCCCGCCCGCGGGCCGGGAGCGCTCGGTACCTTTGACGCCCGCCATGTTGGGAGCTCTGAGGGAAGCCGAGCTGAGGTGGCGGCAGGCGCGCGACTTCCGCCTCCCGGCCGCTTAGCCTCGCCCCTTTCCCCGCACCACGTGAGCGGCCGCCAATGAGGCGCGTCCCGGGCGGCCCCCGCCTCGTAACCATGGCGACCGAGCGAGGGCGGGGCCTCGCTGCCTCCAGTCAGGCCTAGGGGCGGGTGTTCAACATATGTACACATAAACATACATATATAGCGTTATATATAGTGTGTACATGTGTAAATACATGCATATATGTGCGCACGGGCACGATTCAAATAGATAAATACCGTTTTAAAGAGCCCCCACCCCTCAGTTGCTGCCAGTTTGCAGGCTGCTTCTGGAAACCCTTGTTTTCACCCCAAAAAATGGGCCCAGACGCCTGGTTGTGTCATACAGTGCCTTCTCAGCATCTGCATCATCCACCCTTCTGCTAATCCGCACCGAGAAGGGCACATCTTTTTTTAGAGCAGTATTTTTCAAGCCTCAGATTATTTTTTGGGGGGGATCCTATTTTTGACCCAAGAAGAGCCTTTTTAGGAGAGATTTTGCATAACTCTTGGAATACACCTTCCCCGGGTGTAGGTCTCAGCCTATCGCCCCTTCTTCTTATTTCATACCTTGCCTAATACAGATTATTTTTGCCAATTTCATGGTGAATTTTAATTGCTTCAGAGCTGACAGACCACAGGCCAAGAAGGCCTCCTAATTAAAACAGGAGACTTAGGGGACCAAATGCTCCAAGTGAAAATTTTGTTAGGTGCTACGTTTGCTGTCTTGCTCTTTTCTGGGTCTCAGAAGTGCAATAGCATGAGAATAGCAAGTGACAAACTGTTTCCAAAATGTCTTAATTTGGGAAAACCACCAGCCTGTAAATTACTGCATGGTATTAGTCACCACTTTAAAGAAGCAATATCAATACTGGCCAAGTATGGTATGAGCTGGTGTATGGTGTTAACCTTGTGGTCTAGTCACAATTTGTGAGAAGCAACCAAGCTCAGTGTTTCTGGGGTTATTTTGAGGAACGTGAACAGAAAATGTTATACCCTCGCCATACCCTCCCACACCGCAAACCCTTTGGTTGTCATCAATAAGAAAATAAACCTAGGAATTTTAATACAAGCTTACATCTTGCCGCTGACACCAAGCTGTGAGGAGCAGTCAACACGCTGGAGGTAAGGGATGCCATCCAGGGGGAACTGGACAGGCTGGAGAGGTGGGCACACGTGAACATCATGAAGTTCAAGGTCCTGCACATGGGTCAGGGCAATCCCAAGCACAAATCCAGGCTGAGCAGAGAATGGATGGAAAGCAGGCCTGAGGAGAAGGACTCAGGGGTGTTGATGGATGAGAAGCTCCACATGAGTCCTGGTAGCCTAGAAAGCCCCCCATGTCCTGGGCTGCATCCCCAGCAGCGTGGCCAGGGGGAAATTCTGCCCCTTCTGCTCTGGGGAGAGCCCCCCAGTGCTGCCCCCAGCTCTGGGGCCACCAACAGCAGAAGGACATGGGGCTGTTGGATGGGGCCAGAGGAGGCCACGGAGATGCTGGGAGGGCTGGAGCCCCTCTGCTGGAAGGACAGGCTGAGAGAGTTGGGGGGTTCAGCCTGGAGAAGAGAAGGCTCTGGGAAGACCTGTCAGCTCCTTCCAGTCCCTCAAGGGGCTCCAGGAAAGCTGGGGAGGGACTCTGGATGAGGGAGGGGAGCCCTAGGAGGAGGGGGAAGGGTTTGACACTGAAAGAGGAGAGATTGAAATGAGCTCTCAGGAGGAAATTGTTTCCTGGGGGGTTGCCCCAAGAAGCTGTGGCTGCCCCATCCCTGGAGGGGTTCAAGGCCAGGTTGGAGGGGGTTTGGAGCAACCTGGTCTGGTGGGAGGTGTCCCTGCCCAGGGCAGGGGGTGGCACTGGATGATCTAACTTTTCTATGATCTTAGAAACTGTTTATATTAGCAGCAGCTGTACTATCTCAAATACTTACCTAGATACACACCTGACTTGTGTAAACAATCAAAAGGTGGAAGCAAGTTAAGTTGCCACCTTCTGTTTCAGCTGAAGGGGTTTTTTTCCTCTTTAGCATGAAAGGCTGCATATTTTGCCATTGTAAAGGTTTTCTAAATTAAGCCCTTACTGTTCTTATAATCTTCTTGCAGTAACAGGAACTTACTTTTTCATGGAGCTTTTTCAGTCTTGAGGAAAGAAAAGTTCTTGAAAAAAAATCTATTTGTCTCTAGAGCAAGTAATTTATGGTTACCTTTGTGTGTACCACACAGGTCCCACCCAACCCTGAACTAGAGCAACAGAGGTGTTAGTCATACAGACAAAAGAGGTTTCCATTAAGGTACATGGATACGTTGTTTATCCAGCATTTGCAGAGACATTACTCTGAACTGTGTTTAAATCAAGAAGGTAGAGGTGTGTTTGGTTTTTTTCCCCCCCACAAGCACAAAAAAATACCTGAATATGTTAATTTGAGCTTTTTAATGTATATACAAATGTTTCAGACCATCACAATTTCATTGAGTATATACTGTATTTACAAAAATTACAGTAATTTAGTCAAACAGTAAACCTGAACATTGATAACCTCTGTCACTACCAGATATGACAAGAAAATTTTTTAGTTAACTATTTTGATATACATACATCCTAATACTTTCATGCACCCATAAAAACTTTAGGGATGGAAGTAATCAAAGCTTAAGTGGGGTAGGATTTCTTTTGGTAGATAAAGTTTAATGATGGATTTGTATTTTGTGAACGAATGAGTATCCGGAGTTATGTGCCATGACGAACTCGATACAAAGCTAATGTAGTTTTCATTATTAAAAAAGTACATTATAGTAATGAGATCCTTTTTATTATATAGGCATAGGTCACAATATCTACAAATGTGAATGAGAAACAATAAACCAACAAATCACAGGAACATGATTCACATTCCAGTTATCTCTTTAAATAAGACAAGCACATACTGGATCAAAACATTAATAAATAACATCCAGTTTGTTACTATTATCTCAAGGTCTTTTATATAAAAGGAGACCTATGTGTTGGTTTCACATTTTCAATTAATGGTAGTAAATAATGGACCAATACAACAAAAGGATGACTTTTATACAGAAAGCAATGTACTTTGACACACTCTCTCTGCAGTAAAGGTTTTGCCACTTGAAAAATTTAAGTGCAACAACAAGTGGATTGTCTTTAAAAACCACCAGCTTTAAAGACTCACATCAGGTAGCAACCTATTCCTTAAGCAGTAAATACAAACGATTTCCTGCCCATCTTCCAAATTTACCTGCCCTTTCAAAGCTCAAATACAGATACAACATGTTGGTAAATAAACGGCTAGCTTGAGTTATTCTACAAAAGGAGAATGCCAGAATTTGGGGTGAAGAGCATAACTCGCTTTTTAACTAGGAAAGATGCTTCAGCTTTAGCATCAGAGATACTTCCTTGTGATATTATTGCTTTGGTCCAATATAAACTTTTAAGATAATTGATTTGCACTGTGGTTACCTCAAAAATCAGACCTGGTCCACAGATGTCTACATAACAGCTTGTGCAACGCGGTCTGAAAAGTAAAGTTGCAACAGGTTGCGTTCTGCCAAGAGCCTTTGCCAAGTGCTCTGGAGCTGATAAAGGCATAGAGGTGATACAAGTGGGCTGGAAAAAAGTCTTCTGAATCCTCAGGAGGGGAAGGGTTACCTACAGACTGAGAAGTTTCTAAAACTTTGCAGCAGAGTTTTAGTTTGTTGATATTTCTTTTGGTGCGTGGTTCCAAGCTACTGATGAGAACTTCATGGGAAACACAGTACATGCTCATTCTTCACTTTTACAAATGTGGATTCACCCGTCCCCCCAAATTCCCCATTCCCCCAGAACTGCTGTTTAGCAAACAAAGAAACAAGGTGCTGTTTAATATCAATTACTTGTTGTTTGCTTTAAAAGACACTCGCTCCATAATGCTGAGGAATTTCTCCTGCACGTTTCACTGCTGGACTGTGAGGTGAAGTACAGTATTAATGCATAAAGCGGCAGTCGGCTGCCACACTGATCTAACCCAGGATTCAGCTTTGTCTCTACTCAGGCATATGATATTATATGAGCAATTAAGCAGCAAATGGTGACTGTTAGAAGTGTGTCTAAACCACATCTGAGCACTTAGATTCGATAATGTCTGATCCAAACCTAGGAAGAAAGCACATCAAATGTTTGGTTCTTCACCACCAGTTTTTGAACTCAACTGAAGTGTTGCCATATCACATACCACACAAAAAAAATAAATAGGAAATTCACCAGCTACACTGCATCAGAGACAGAACAATTCCACCTTTTCCCCAGAAACGTTTTCTCTCACCCCACTTGAATCCAAAGAAAAATACAAAAGTTACAAGAAACTGTAACCCCATGGCTCCCGTGGTAAGCCAGGTGGCTAGAGTTCCTCTGAGCTCAGGATTCTTGATACAAATATAAGGAAACCTTTCTCTTGTTCTTCATGATAAGTATTAGGTTCTTAGTTTTCTGCAACTTCTGAATTTCCAGCCAGAGTTTGGTTGATCTGTGACATTTGTGACGAGACTATATAAACACTAGCACAGGTCTGTAGTGGAGACTGAGGAAGTGCCTAATACAAGGGTTTTTGTCCTTGGTTTTCAAATTCTGACCAGGCATCATTTAGCTCCATAAATATCATCTTTGCATATTGTTCATATGGCTGCCCAGTAGCCTGGAATAAAAAAACAGAAAAAGGAATATCACATCTACCAAATCAGGCCACAAAAAGGTGACATTTGAGCTGCTAGATTCTCAAGCAGTTATCGTTCACTTTCCACAAATGGTTTTCCCTTTTTCTTTGACAAGAGTAACCCACTATCAAGGGCTGCTTCCCTTGTTTACAGCTTAAGAATTTCTTGGCTCTTCTGCTCCTCAGAGTTGATAACTCCCCAAGTGCAATAAAGCACTGCAGTCCCATGGGCAAAAAGGTCTAACCTGGGCTTTGCAAGAGGCATTTTACCTGCACTGAAGGGGAAAGAGCTGCCACCTAACACAGTTCCTTGATAAAAGCAATATTCC